TACTAGGATTGCCGCTTTGCCGATTAAGACTATGCTCACCTTATAGAAAATCTCGTAACAAACAATATTTTTCGTATAAATTTTTCGATTAAATGACGTTTTAAACAAAACAAAACAACGGTCGCCATGGTACTTCAGCACTTTGCGCCGGCGTGCCAGTCAACATTTTTCGCATAGTTGCCAATACTATCATTACCACTTCCTTAACCGCCTACAATTTGAAGATTTAAAAATTTGAGAATTTTTAAAGTTGAATTTTGTTTGAAATTTAGTTTAAAGGCATTTTTGAACAATGGCCGGTCTTGGGACTAATAGTGTGTGTACCGTTGTGCAGTGAAACTGAGTTTCATAAAATTATGCTAGATTGCAATTCTCTGCTGGACTTCTACAGGCACGGCGTTTTGAGTTGCCATTTTCGATATTCCTGCGGGACTGTGTTGGTTTCCAAGAAAACTCCCCGGTGGTTGAAGTTTCCTTGCCAAAAGCGCAACCCCACAGATGGCACATTTTGCACCACCAATTTTGCTATTTTTAAAGGAACTTTTTTCCACCAATCAAATCTGTCTTTGGAGCAAGTGAGCCGGCTTGCTATGTTTTATTTGTGTCGACCTTTCCCTCGATATGCTTTTATTCACACGGAAATGAAGCTAAGTTCCAAAACTATCAGCGACTGGTTTTCTTTTATCAGGGAAAACGGCTGGCTGCAATCAGCTGGGTCCCGGCTAAATTACGCGCACAATCATATGTATGAGCTTATCAGTTTCGTCCACTATTTCTTGTATGGACGTAAATCTGCTAAGTTTTCAACCGGGAATTAATTACTTTTTTGTTTTCATTGAAATTTTCTACTTTGGTGGCAGTTCGGCAACATGGCTGCCCAGTATGCAATTTGTGGCTGCGCGTACCGTGCGTACGGGCATGTGCGCGTGCCACAGCAGATCGTACCGTAAAGCATTACCAGAAAAAATACAGTCTTCTGTTGTCTATGAAATTAGAAAAATTATCGTCGTTTTGTGCGAGGGTGGCGCAAGATTATTGCAAAATTTCATGTTTTCCGTCCCGTTTTGCATGTTTCTCGGAAGCAAAATG